TTCGAATAACGGCGAATCTCATGGAAAAGAACATAGAAAATCATATGGACGCTGTGGTCAATTAGGAATTTTCAACGGGGATATACAGCTATAGGGTAATGGAAAAGAACATGGAAGCAACTTTGCTGGACTACTATAACATAACCACCCACCCACCCCCACCCACCCCCCCACAAAAAAAAAAAAAAAATACATATTAATAATAATTAAGAAAAATCTAGAATCACATGGAAAAAAGCACCTGGAAAATGAAATGAGCTATAGTCTAAACTCCTGGTATATCCCCCTTGGTAGCCCCTGTATATAATCCCCGATCGTACCACCTTAAAGGAATTTTAGACTATAGCTACCGTAAACCCTGAACCCTAAATCCTAAACCCTAAAATTGAAACAAGGACTGGTCTGAGAAAGTCGCTCCAGTATCCTGAGGGCCTGACGGCTTCTTCCATTTTTCCTCATTTGACGGTTTAGCGTCTAGGGCTTCGGGGCTGTTAAGGAACTAAGTTAAATTACCATACTCTGGGTGTATAGTATACTAAATACGGAAATTTTACCAGTTATAATAATATGGGTCTATAGTAAATTAGTAAATAGCGGGGTTTCCCTAACATAGTAATCTAATCTAAATTCCTTAACAGCAATCCCACAAAGTTGCTGGCACGTCTCCGGGTCTTGACTGCTCTTATTGCAAGCCTTGCTGCTGAAGGCTTATTACGATGACACCCGAGTAGATCAGTACTGTTTCCTATGACACTTTAGTCTAAACTCCTGGTATCCCCCTTGATAAGCCATAGAATGGTCCCCTATACAATCCCCTACAGAATCAGCCTTTCAGCAGTATAACCCCTATATAACCCTATATAGTAAATAGTAGTTTCCATTTTCCTTTCCATTATCCCAATATAACCCCTATAAAACCCCTATATAACCCCTATATAACCCTATTTAGACTGCATCTAAAATGACAGTTATTTCCATGAGCTTCTGGTCGTGAAGCCTTGGGAGCAGGCGGAACCAAGCGACTGATTGGTCGACATTGGCTTGTGCAGCGAAGGCAGCGATGACTTCTGAGACAGGGCTCATTGGACATGGTGATGAATACTACAAAATTCCCTTGCTGGGTGCTAATGCCATTCTGCCGGTCGCTACCATAACTACTGACAGCCACTACTGCTAACACCACTGATGACATTGTCACCGGCATGTAAAGATGTGACTTGCAAACAAAGATCGCCTGTGTCAACATCTTGGCCGCAGCTGATTCGCAACTAAATTTGCAATTCCTAGCTGAAGGCAACAATAAGGCAAAAAATGCCGAAATGGCAGCCATGGTGTTGCTTCTAGATATAAGCAGCAAGCCGGCAACTCTGTACTAAACAACTGCCGACAAGCGCACCGTTGAAAACCATGACATTCTGCAAGACGCCGTTCTGGGGCATGGCCTGTTGCCGGTGGGCAAACGTACTACACTATACTCTACTATAATACAAGTTCATATAAGATAGTATATTCTGATATAATACATTGCCACCCAAAAATTCACCAATCTACAATGGGTTTCTAATGGAGTTGCTTGAAATCACATTTTCTGCAAAGCGTGTTCTCGGTTTTGCCTCAAGGAACATGGCGGCGGCGTCTGGTCGCCCTTTCCTCTCCAGCTGCCACAGCTAAGTTACTTGAGCGCAACTGACTCAAAGCTGTGCGTTGACTGAGATGCATGAGAACTGCCTCGCAAATCCAGCGATGACAACCGAGTAGGAAATCTCATGGTCTGACACCTGTTCTTCAACACATCATGGAAGTGCTTGACTTTGCTTTTGCCGGATAGAAAGGCTGAGTGAAACATCCAAGAGGCTGTGGCTTTTCTGGACAACGTGTGTGGTTTCCAGTAGGGAAGAAGGGACTATCATCCCAATCTAATACATTCCCGTATTCCCTACTTAGAAGCAGTTAGCATCAGGAAAAACAGCTACCGACATGCTGAGTGCGATGCTCCACCCCCTGCCCTCCGCGCCGGGCTCGGATCTACGCGGCTTGATGTCCAATCCGACGAGCCTGAGCCATCCATTAGATTCAGTTTGCCCCTAAAACCTAGGAAAAACCTTAAACCCTAAACCCCAAACCTTAAACCCTACCTTAAACCTTAAACCTGAAACCCTAAACCCTATCCGGGACTCAGGGGTTCTGGGAACTTCCTGGCCTGGCATTGAAGCTCGTGGGTTTTGGCTTTTCGCCGTCCCGGGTGCCCAGGACATGGCCGCAAAACTCGTCTTCGAGGACCTCTCCGAAGGTTTTGGGGACCTGGCAATTTCCATAAACAAGGGGACCCCATATAGACCCCCAAGTGCTATATTCCTTATTCTAATGACCCCAAAAGGCTATGCCTAATGTTGGGACGCCCTACACCCTACGTCCCATGTTATAACCCCCATAACCCCTCTACTTTAAACCCTAAACCCTGAACCCTGAACCCTAAACCCTAAACCCTGAACCCTAAACCCTGAACCCTGAACTTTTGCCTAATTTTGGGAAACCCCCCACCTCTGTGCCGTCCTGGCCTTGAGCTCACTGACCTCGCCCGGCAGTTTGGGCGCCGAGGCGAAGCACCGCAGTGACCGCGCCTTTGCAGCGGCCTCGAAGGGCTCACAGCATCACTTACTATGACCGTGTTTTGCTGATTACAAGTACTAAAACCCTAAACTCCAAATCCTAAATTCCTAACCCTAAATCCTAGACCTTAAACCCTAAACCCTAAGCCCGAAACCCAACGTCAACCTTTAACCCCTGAACCTTAAACCCTAAAAGGCAGGGGGCAAAGGACTCAGTGGCCTTGGCCAGGGTGAACCTCGTGGGAGGCTTGATGACCGCAACTGCTGCTGCCAGGAAGAATCCATAGCACATCCCATGTGAGCTTTATAGGGATTATATAGGGGACTACTATAAGGGCTAATTAAGGGGGATACTAGGAGTTTAGATGCTTATGTGCTTAACTTGGAGCAACTCCTACGATTGCAGATCCTAGATTGAGGTGGTACTTGCTTCTGCTTGAGTCGTTCCGGCTTTACCAGTTTGGGCCTTGTTGCCCATCCAGCACGTTGCTTAGTGTAATTCTGCTTGGAAACTCTGTTGAAGTCACAGTCTCAATGTCCAGGACACACATAGATGGATTGAGGAGCGTTGGAGCATGATGCGTGCTTTAGTTCAAACTTGAACCGGACGCTGTATGGCATGAGACTCTCGTGTCTCCGCTGCCAGTTTTAGTTTTGGACTTAAAGTTGTAAGGCAGTAGATGGTTTCTTAAAAGTGCAGGCCTCCATTTTGGGTTTCCTGTCAGGTTGCGGAAGCATACGAGGCGGCTCAGATCTCGAGCAATTCCCATGTTCCTTGACGGGATACCCTGTCTGATTTCTTCCTGAGTTCTGTCTTTTTCTGACCACGCGGACGCAACCATGTAGCCAGGTCCTTGTTCAGGTCACAGTTCCAAGGACAGCGTGTCGGTGTGCTCGGGTGCTTCGGGGCGTCGCATGGATACCAGCTGTGAACAGGCTTCGCTTCACTTCTGGAAGCTCTCAAGTCGCCGGTCCTGCTCATGAGAGGCAGGGTGTTTATCTTCGAACTGTGATTTTGGGAGTCCTCCATGGAATCCACACGATGGGGAATGCCATGTCTTGCAAACTCGTCGTTCCATAGCCTGCGCACGCCGCAGTCACGCAGCACAGAGTATTCACATCTCTGGGACGAAGACAGGGTTCATTCCTGCAGACACTCCAAGAACATCTGACAAGCCAGCATCATGAGATCAAACAAACTCCCCACACCGCAACATTCCAAACAACCAAGATCAACCAAGCATACACCGCTTTACAGCCTTTCAGGCGACATCATGAGCATCAGCTGCACCCTGTCCAGCCCAGCCAGCGCCTTTGGTCAGTATCCAGCCCAACATTAGCAGTCCGGCATCATGAGCATCAGCCAAAGCCAGGCCAGCACCACGGAGCCGGCTTCAGGAGCCTCAGCAGCACCTCTTTCAGCACATCCCCACCGCCACCGGCCCAGCATCATGAGCAGCAGAACAGCATCACTGGCATCAGCTGGCCCGTTCCTGCGCCCAGCATCAGCAGTATTCAGTGCCGCTAGGATCAGCGACATTCAAGGATTGCAGGGTTATATAGGAAAGTGGAAAAGAACAATTGGAACTACTATTTCGGGTTTAGGGTCCCAATCTTGCCAACATTGCAGAAATCTCAAATGCTGCAATCTCATGGCCGCTTGGCTGCCTGGCAGTCTCTTCAGCAATCTCCTCCTGGACAGGAGCTCAAGTAAAGCAACTATATGCTCCAACCTTGTTTTAGAGACCCGCCAAGAAACCTGACATTTTTGGAGGCGTAATCCCTATGCAGTATACAATCCCAGTTCCATTTTAATGTCCATGTTCTTTCTCATTTGATTCCCACTATTGGGTAATCTCCCTAAGTCCTAAACAGCACCTGACACGCAAACGCTGGACTCCTCCGTCATCATCTGTCTCCTCTGCCTCTCCTCTCGGGACTGTTGATCTGACCTTGCCTGCGCAGAGTCCAAACAAGTTCAATGGACTAGCGGATGGGACCCATGAACTTCCCCTGCACGCTTGCTTAGCTGAGCATGGGCTGCGCCTGAGTTTCTTGAAACTTTTCCAGCAAGTGCGGGGGCCTGGGCGAAGATTGCAAATGCTTCTAGTGTTCTAGGACTCTGACCAGATCCATGCAGACTATGGTTGCAACAACGGTAACTACTCAGATTTGCACTCCTGCGAACTGTGCTCAGCATTTTCAGGATCATTATATCAACGTACCTTAGGAGGACCCCAATATAGGTGGACCCTGATATTATTGCCATTATCCCTCATAGTCACTACCGGTATTACTGGGTGGGGGGGTCCACCTAACAAATACCACGATCTCACTGCCAATGTCCAAAATTTGCTTCTAGGTGCGCCTGCGGTTGCCTCAGGAGCCTGCAAATCTGTCAAGTCCGCCTCGAACAAGCCCTCTCCTCCAAAACTGGTAACTTACGGGTGGTTCGTAGGGAATAAGGGAATATAATCACTACATAACCCCTATATCACGTATTCCCTTCTTCCTAATCCGGTAGCAAAATGCTTAAAGCCGTTGCACACTCTTCAAGTGGGACTTGGCCAAAATTACTGTCCCAAAATGTTAGGTTTGAGGGTTCAGGGTTCCCAAAATGTCGGAGTTTTACATAAGGACCCATATTGTAGTGTAATAAAAACCCCACTGTAGGGACCCGTGTCATAATGAATTTAGGAAATCCCCGTATAATCCCTAACCAACCTTAAGTTTCCATTTCATGTTCCATTCTTTCCATTTGATTCTCTATTACTGGGGTAATATCCCTAAACCCTAAACCCCTCAATCCCTCAACCCTAAGCCCTGCACCCTAAACCCCAAAACTCTCCCCTTGTTGGGTTATAGCCCCTCTTAGGGTTTAGGGCCCTAAACCCGAAACCCCAGATCCTGAACTTCTCCGCCCCCACTCCTAGCGGGATGTCATCATTGAACAGCCGCGGCCACAGCAGTGTGCCATAGCTGTAGGTTTGATAGACTTCCGAGGCGTCCTGACCACTGCTTTTCGGGTTCACGGGTTAGGGGTTTAGGGGCTTAGGGGTTAGGGTTTCAGAAGGGTTCAGGGGTTAGGATTTATGGTTTAGGGGTGAGGGTTTAAGGTTTAGGGTTAGGATTTCAGAAGGGTTTAGGGGTTAGGATTAAAGGTTTAGGGGTTAGGGTTTCGGCTTAGAAGGCACCTGTTACTGGGCAAATAACCCTACGTACTTGTAATTGGGATAACCTGAAAAGGTCCTATTAGGGGGAAGTCCCATGAGCCTTAAAGTGGGGGTTTATATAGGGATGTGGGGTTTAGGGTTTGGGGCCCTGTAGAAATCAAGCTTTATGCTTTTTTACAAGGAATAGATCTATAGGGATTAAGGTACATGACAATTCAAAGATATTCCCAGGAATACTCGGAGGCTCAATCTTGAATTTCTACCTTTACTACTATTATTAATACGTTCATTACTATTTCTTGTGGATTTAAATGTTATCACTATTAAAAAATTTACTGTGATAACTGTTATCTGTTAATTGTAACCACCCTAAACCCTGAACCCCCCTAAGAACTTCAACTCCTATTGCTGCTAATAACCTTAAATTACCCGTCCAAGGCTATCAGGAACCTCGCCTTGTCCACTGTCAGCTCCATGATGGGAGGGACCTCCTCCGGAATAAGGAACCTCAGGAACAATAGTAATAACAGCAATAGTAGTAATAATAAACATAATAGTACAACATTGAAAATATAAATAATAGTCATAATGCTAATTATTGTAAGAATAGTAGTAACATTAATGCGAGTAAGTATCGTAAGAAGAAGAATAATATTGATACTAGTAATTGTTGTAAGAATAGTAATAACAATCCCTAAACCCTAGACCCTAAACCAATGGTAATGGTAATAACAGTCATGCTGCCCTTGTCCGATTTCTCGGGAGGCTGAGGCGCGGTCCAAGAGTAGTTCTCACCATTTGGGTCAACCTGCCAGTTTAGGGTTTCAGGTTTTTGGGGTTTAGGAAGTTTAAGGTTTATGGGTTTAGGGATTTAAGAATTGAGGGGTTTAGGGGTTAAGGAAGTTTGGAGTTTAGGGGTTCAGGGCTAGAATCGCGCAACTCTCTGTTTTGCAGACTGTACATTAGCTATAATCGAAACTCCTAGTATCCCGCTTAATAACCCCTATAGTCCTCCCTATATAACCCCCCTTCAAGGACATTGCAGAGGGGGCATGGTGCCCCTATCAGCAGATTGCTTTGCCGCCTTGCGATCGAAAGTGCCCTCGATGATTGGATCTGTGTCGCCCACCGTCCCTTCGACATGCAAAGCTGTGTCCAACTATAGTCCCCTGCAAGTAGATAGAATATGGCTTTGGGTATATAATAAAAGATCTCCATATACCCCACATTCTATCCACTTAGGGGTGACTATAGAATCGCACAACCGCTGCAGCATTGCTGGCGCCTATTCTTAAGCTGGTGGCCGTGATTTCCACCTCGGCATCTGAGTCAGATGCATTCGGACGATGTAGATGGCAGTGCAGGAACATGCCGCTCAGATTGGGATGCCCTTTTTCCAGCAGGAACAGCCCGGACGCGCATGATTCAATCAAGAGCTGCCCAGTCCACAGTTGATCGGCGCTCCCATTTCTTTGTAGTACTCGTCAAGGTACTCTTTGGCGCTCCTTGCAGGCGTGTAGCAGGGATGGTAGTTGGAAGTTAAATATAGACTTCCTGTGCGGAGGCCAACCTGGCAGCCAATAAACAAAAAACAGCAATAAAAACAACATCAACAGCAAGCGTAATAGTGAACAGTGAATAGTACCTAGTAAATAGTAATAATGATAACAGGTAGCTGCTCACAACAAGAGCAATAATAACAACAATAGCAGCAATAGTAACAGTCATCGTCATCGTAATACGACCAGTAATATGACAATCTCAGCCCTATCAAGCTCCTTGCATTCTTCTTGTAGTTGGTCCTGGCCTCACCGGTAGTATGAGGTGACATGGGGGCTTCTGGCGTACCATTTCGGGAGAAGAATTCCCACATATCGGGCGCTATATTGGGGTCCCCCCTGTATTTGCAGACTACCACATAAGGACATGGCAGAGTCAGGAAGACAGAAAGAGGAGCCTCCAAATCGGCACCCTCACTCACTAGGAAGTCGCAGAGCTCCAAAGACTTCTGTGCACGGGCAGCCATGATGAGCGGCGTCTCACCGCTGGTGGACCGAGGGTCGATATCCTGATGCCGGTGATGTCTGCAGAACCAGAAACAAAAGTCAGCGAGGCTAGCCAGACATGTACTAGAGTCTAAACTCCTAGTATCCCCCTTAACGAACCCCAAATACTCCCTTATGTAATACCCCATATAACCCCCTTTCAGGAGTCTAGACCCTAAACCCTAAACCCTAAACCCTAAACCCTAGATGATGATGATGATGATGATGATGATGCGGCTTCTAGGAGGAGGGGGTCTTCCACAGCTTTCAAAAGACGCCGGAGCTTCACTTGAATTCAAATGGTCCGAACATGTGAGGTGAGCATGGTGGTCTCTGGGCGTTGCAAGAAACTGGAATGGGTATTTCCAAAATGAGGGATCACCGTGATGGAGTCTCTAACAAGGACTATAACATATTCGGGCCTATTTGGGGCCCCCTGTTTACGGAAACCTGCAAATGTAGAACCCAACCCTCCTGGACCCTAAACCCCAAAACCCTTAACTCCAAAACCCTAAACCCCAAAACCCTAAACCCCGAACCCCAAAACCTAGAACCCCAAAACCCCTAAACCCTAAACCCCAAAACCCCAAAACCCTAAACCCTAAGTGATCTTTCACCGGGGTGCGGCTCCCTTTTCCCGCAGGAGGCGGCAGACCGCCACGTGACCAGCAGCTGCAGCCAAATGCAGGGCTGTGTAGTCAAAGAAATCCTGCGGGTGGTTTAGGGTTTAGGGTTCAGGGTTTAGGGTTTAATATAATAGATACAGGCATAGCCAGGGATCATACTCCCATCTCCCCTACCAAGAACCAGTAAGAGAGAAGGGTCTCTTCCCCAGGGCTAGGATTTATTCTATGTGAACCATTTAGGGTTTAGGGTCTAAACTCCTAGTATCCGCCTCAATAAGCCCTATACTAGGCCCCTATATAATCCCCTTCAAGGAGTTTAGACCCTAAACCCTAAACACTTAGTAATAACCGCCTTTAGGGATTTTAGCCTATGGCTCATATCTTGGAGTCTGAGTTGACTAGGCCAGGATGGATAGGAAGACCTTCCAGGGTGTGACGTTTACTGGGTTGCTGTGAAGGAACTTGAATTCAGTTATTATATTGGGGAACCCATACT